TGACATCGTCAAACAGATCCCACCTTTTCTGATAACCAACAAGCAACTCTGTGGAAGAATGAATTCATCATTTATGGTATAAGTCTCATTAGACGTATCTTTGATAGGCTATAAACTGTATGGTAGACGAGATCGCCTAGGCTTCGATTCGACCATTTTCTTCTCCAGAAGCTCTCTAAGTGCTTTTGTAATCTTTTCTTTTCTGTTGAAAATGTCATTTTTTCTGGTGATTTGAAATTCGATACATCGTTAAGAATGGAATCCATGTTCTTGATATAGTCAGACTCGTTCATCACTACGACACCTGAACATTTTCCCCCATTGTAATATGACGACATCCTCAACACGATAGTTGCTATTTCATTACAATACCATACTCTTTAAGAAATCTTTTGTAGTTTTTAAGTTCCGTCTTTGTAACAATACAACCGTGACCCAGATGACGGAGTGGTTTTGCTTAACCGAACGCATACGGCCTTCTCATGATGCCATGTGTTACGTCATTTTGAGACGTTTTTTGTAATCAATTTTTGTGAATTATATATAAGTCACAACGCTTATATAAGCGGCCTACTTTTCACTCAGCAGCCAATAGTTGTGAAACTAATAAATAGAGCCATTATAAATTATTTAAATTAATCCCAGCGTGTTAAGAAAATCAAAACAAGATTTTTCTGAACGTTTCACTGAAGAAGCTATGGCTTACACAGCTGGGATTAATTTAAATAATTTATTATGAATCAATCTGACTCGGCACTCAAATTATTCCAGGAAGTTCGTAACACCTACGGCCTGGAAACTTATAATAATAAATAGAGCTTTTATATTTCTCTGAGCTTAAACGTTTCTGTAGAGACTGTGAATTGATTTTATGGGGTAGGATCATTAGCCCCCCCTCCCACATGCCCAACATTTTCCCTATTTATTAGATGGCTGGAGGCAGTCGGCCGAAGGAAGCCTTGCTTGACCTAGATTTCGTGCTCGTTGGCACTCACCAGTCAGCAAGGCGTATCTGCAACCACTTTGAAGGAATTTATGTCCCTTCAGAGATTCGAACTCGCGTCATCCAGTGCTGCATTCAGAGACTGATAGAATTCAGCCTGCACTGCCTTACTGACTGCTGAGTGCCAACTAGCACGAAAACTAGATGAGGTAAGGCTTCCTGCGGCCGATTACCTCCAACCGTCTAATATTATCAAATCACTGTGCACCGTGATGGCAAGCTACCTAGAACGGTGGCCACATTGCAAACCTGATTGACTGTTAGAACTCAGTCTGTACCAAACGAAGACCTAGACACGTCCGAGCATAAGACTAGCAACGAACATCCCCAAAAAACATTACCCAGCAAACATGTAAAATTTCATACACAAATTTCAACATACACTGAGTAACATCAAGCGCCAGGCCTTCAGAAATTGACGGATTAGGCTTTAGAGGATGACATAGTCTGAAGAGGAAATGAAAGCTTCTGGGGGCAACCGTAGAGTCAGATGAAAGAGACTGTAAGGAACAGAGTGAAGTGGAAATGTGCCACTAAAGCCCTATTTCCCACTCACAACCCAAGGGAATAATAATAATAGTTACTACTATTATAACAATAATACTAAGTAGACTATATTAGTTCATAGAAGCAGGCTTCTCTACAAGGTGTCTTTTGATTATAATCTACCTATTGCATATCATACTGATTCTAAGCTTTTGAAACAACTTAAGCTTAAGTATGCTATCCCTACTTTGTAGATAGAACAGCAGCAAAGGTTGAACCTATCAGAGTGGAGTATCTCTTCGTAAACTTGACCTAAGTACTTATTTACTTTGATAACTAGAATGACTACTGACGTAAATTAACCCCGCATGATTTCATTTGTTCGATACTGGCTAAGGGTGTAATCTAGATACGGTGTTTCGTCCTATTCAGGGCTTAACGACTGGATACACTAGCATTCCCATGGATGACGGCGAAACAAAATACTGCTCTGAAGTTTAAAACTATGAATGTCAGGTTAAAGAACACTTCTAGGATGCAAACACTCGTAGAATGAGACGTGCATTATACTGCCTACTGCCAAACTCATAGTATGACACTTGAACAAATACCATGATAGTTACACTTTAATAACCTATGATACCATCAGTGAAGAAGAGTGCTAGAAAAGATAAAAGACAATTCTACGACACACTGGCCGGCAACTGAATCAGAACAGGCAGGGCGCAGGTTAAAGGGACCTCGAAACATTTTTACCAGATAACCAGGTCGATCACTATCCGGGAAGAGATCAACGCAGATGAAACCCATGAAAGATGTTCAAGGGAACCTAATTACCAAGGAAGAGAAACAAATCAGACAATGGGTTGGTCACTTCAAGGACTCTTCAATCGACTATCACCTGCAACTAGTCCAGGAATACCACCAACACTACGCAGAGAACTGTCAGTGGACACCAGTCCTGCAACAAAAATAGAAATCTTGGATCAATCAAGCTACTGAAGACCTGGAAAGCAGCAGGACCAGATGGAATTCCCCCTGAAGCACTGAAAACTGACTCAGAAATTGAATCGGATATGGTGACGCCACCATTACAAAAAAGTTTGGAAGGAAGGAAAGGTGCCTACTGATTGGAAAAAAGGTTAGCTCGGCCTCCACAAAAACGGAGTGGAATAATGCTTTCCTCCACACCAAGTAAAATACTAAGTCGCTTCATTCCTGGACAGAATAAAAGATGCACGCATGCAGAACTCTCCTCCACGCAACAAGCTGGATTGAGGAAAAGCGAATCATGGGTCAATTGCAACACTACGCATCATCATCACAGAACAAAGCATAGAATGGCAGTCAAACCTCTGTCCCAACTTCATCGACGGTGAAATGGCTTTCAACAGCGTTGACTACAAGTAATTTGGAAACTACTTCAACACTATGGCGTGCAGTGCCCAAATCTTCATCAACCTCATTCAAACGCAGCTACATGACAATGCCATATGTCAGGTGATACACAACAAAAAATTCAGCGAAGCCTTTGAGGTAAAGACAGGAAAAAGACAAGGTTGTGTACTATTACCAATGATATTGCTAATTGTCGCGGACTGGATTGTGTGTCACACCGTGCATAGGCAGAGAGCGAATGCACCAATACGTTGGACTGATAGGAAAACTCTAGAACATCTGGATTTCGCACGTGGATGATTTATGTCTAATGTCTCATAAATTCGAAGACTTACAGACGAAAACCAACAAACTGGCTGAATAGGCTGGCAGAGAAGAACAGGACACCATGTGAACATAGAGAAGACGGAGGTGATGAAAATAACCAAGCAACAATAACAAGAACCAATCAAAACCAACGGAATAAATTTGAATGAAGTTCACTTTCTTCACTGATCTAGGCAGCACAGTTTTAATCACAGGCGCAACGGATGAAGATATCAAAGCCAGCCAGCATTCGGAAAGGCAAGACAGACCTTCGTCACTCCAAAATCAGTTTGGAAATCTCCTCAGCACAATCTCAGCATAAACAACAAGATTCGTATTTTCAACACCAATGTCAAGTCAGTCAGTTCTTCCCTACGGGTCTGGTATTCAAGTGAATCAGCAATCAAACAAAGCCACCCTGACATAGACAAGATTTACCAATCCATAAGAAGGAAAATACATGAAGAGAAAGTCAAACTTCAGGTTAAGGGAACAATCAACATAATACAAATGCAGGGAAAATACATTGCACTGATCAAGACACTTTACTCGAACACATGCAGCTAGCCAGGAGAGAGCTTACGGCAAATTGTCATCTGAACTGCTGACAACTAGTGGTATCTGTCAGGGATTCCCACTATCCCCGTTTCTGTTCAATTTCATCGTAGATGTACTAATGGAATTAACCCTAACTAACTTCATTGGCTCTGGGATTGACTTACTATCAGGGTGTAATCTCATTGACTTAGAATATGCAGATGATATAGTCCTTCATAGGTGAAGACGCTGACAAAATGCAGAGTCTTCTGAACGCCTTGAGATGCAATCCGATTCGCTTCTCTTGTCAAATGTAAGATGATGCTACAGGACTGAACTACATTACCTCTTAGCTTAGAAATAGGGAATGAAGTGGTTGGTGGAGCGTGTTGACTACTTCACTTATTTGGGAAGTTGCATCAGCCAGTGCCAACGAGTTGAATGTTGACGAAATCTCACCACGGATACAGAGGGCTATTTTCGCATATGCCAGTTTACGCCGTCTCTGGCATAGACGTGATATCCGGGTGGCTATCGAACAAAGGGTGGGTGGCTTTCAGTGAGACCTGGAGATTGAGAATGGAAGATATGAAAAGACTGGCTGTCTTTGATCATAGGTACCTGCTTTCTATCTCCCGTGTGAAGTGGTATAATAGAGTATGCAATATTGAGGTGAGGCATCGGTCGAGTTCTAGGTAAGGAGGGGAAATCAATAGACAAGGCTGTGAAGCTGCATCGTCTGAGATGGTTAGGACATGTGTTACGTATACTAGCCTAGCCATTGCCTTCCTCGACAATGGGCAATGTTAAGTGACATAGGGTCAGGCTGATAACAGCTAGCGGGTCAGAAAACATGGTTTCATCAGTCAATGAAATCCACAACAGTCAGTTTAAGCCACATAGGGAGGTGTAGATTTCTTGGATGGGGTCCTCGGGACGGTAAACACCAATGAAGACTGGAGACAATCGGTGATATGGGTGGCTCAAAATCGTTCTCGTGATGGCTGGTGCAGATGCATCCACTCCTTATGACTTATAATACCCAATGAAACTATATTGTTCTTCGCTATTACCATCCTTTTTGCCTCATATCCCTATTTACTGTCTCTAATTTGCACATCAGTGCAAAGTTGTTCTATGTTGAAACCAGACAGAAAAAATCATCCATCCACCTGAACTACAAATCCCCCTGTCGACAGGAAACCTATTTACACCCATGAAAAGCCAACCGTAAATAAACACAAAAGATAAGAAACCAGTTTTAAAATAATTTGAATGAGAATATACCAGTTTTTACAAAAATATGAATATATACATATTTCTATGTGCATAAGATCTAAGCCTTCTTTAACTCTTCATTTCTTTTTCTTTTAACAAAACTGTGGTCTTGGCACAAAGCTCTTTGTTGATTCACAAAAACTTAAACGTGATGATGTACTTCTTTGAAGTAGTAGACTTTGTTGAATATTTTGATATTTTACAGGTATACTAGAATGTCGTTGACTTTTTGATGTGCTGCAGAAATACGGATGCCGAAGAGCATCACAGGCAGTTATACGTTTCCGTGGACATGGTTCTAAAAGACGCGCCAATAGATCATAAGCTGAATTGGGGAAAATATGCGTAGATGATAAAGCGATTGTATTTTTCGGTGGAGTGTCTTGAACAACCTCGGCGGTATTACTTTGTGGACAGGTTATGTCACCACCACCACCTGAAGTAATCGACTCTGTTGATACAGATTTAGAGAGGAGAGGAGGTAAACCGGCAAATTTTTTCTCATATCGTCTGATTGCAGTACATCTAGATAAGAATGAAAAAGAGGATAGACAAAACAAAATTTAATGGAAAGTAAGGTGAAACATATTCATTCTTTAAGTAATTTAATGGATGGTGACTAGCAATGGAATCCAGGATACGCATTTCGTCCTATTCGGGACTCATCACCTGGAAGCACTTGCATGCCACAATGAGTGAATGAGTGATGGTGTTTCCCCCCACTGAGGCTCGAACCCAGTACCACCCTTCGTTTTAAACACTTGGGCAACGAAAGCCACCACACACCACCTCTTGTGCAACAGGTGTCAGTTTTTATTCATCTTAAAATGTCAATTTCGATTTTTCCGCTGATTGATTGGACCGGCCGCTGTTGACTTTTCAGCTCCCTGTGAAGATGCTTCGACGATGCCTGAAGATTATCTTGAAGTAATTTTGGTGAATGGTGAGAGATATATCGTCAAAAAGAGGCTGAAAATTATGGTCCAATCAGTCAATGGGGAAATCAAAATTGAATCAAAAATTTATACTTATTCTTTGTTAAAATTTTCATGTCGTTATCCAGCAACACTTTTAATTTTCAAGTATTGATTTTGTAAGGATTTTGTTTGATTTCATGGAGGATTTCATCATGAGCTGACATCATCCAGTTAGAGAACCACTGGAAAACCTGCAGGGAGTACTGGACAGCTGTTTCCTCCTAGTTTGGGACTCCTCAACAGTACGCATCCACCGCCAGGGTTCGAACCCAGCACCTTCTGGTTACAAGGCGAGCTCGTAGACCATTGAGCCATTGGGACCCGATCCAATGTTCGTTATCCTGACAAACTTATCAAGAAATACATGACAAAGAAAGCGGAAAAGGACTACTCACTGCCAGTAAACAAGAAGCCTTTATATTTACGACTACAATTCATGGGCGATATACCAAGCGAGATAATTACGAAGAAATTAAGAAAATCAGTTCAAAGAACTTTTAATGATGCCAAACTACACGTATTATTCTCTACACGACCGATGGTGCTACCACGACTAAGAGATGAAGTACCTAGACTAGCCACTTCAAATTGTATCTACCAATTCAACTGCACTTGTGGAGCGAGTTATATTTGCCGTTGCTCTAGGAACTTGATTTTTCGTGCTCGAGAACATATCCCACTATGGGTAAGTAAACGTGTAGTTAAAACTATTAACAGCTGAATATTAGACCATCTGGTGCAAACCGGTCACAAAGCCAGCGTAGACGAATCCTTCTCTATAATATACCGGGTGCCTAACAAATTACTAAAATCGTCGAAGCACCGCATGCTCCAAACAGCAGAGGCTATTGCAATTCGCCTCAAACAACCCGTGCTATGTGTCCAGAAGAAACAAGTCCAGCCCCTACTACTGCCCTGGCCCTCAGTAGAGAATATAAACTCATGAATTCGTACTACTACCTTTCCTAATTCTCCTGACATTCAGTTTATTTTATGTTGATGCTGTTCAGCTGTAATCTATCAGTATAAATGATTTGATGTTATTTAAACATTATTGTCGTTTATAAGACTGATTCATTCATTCATTATAATATATATATATAATTGTAGAACCTGATGATGAATTTATCGAAAAGAGTACTCTTGGTTCCGTGTCCATTCTTTTGAAAATCAAACAAAATCCGTAGAAAACCAATACTTGAAAATTAATTAATCTGATGCTCACTAGCCACTGGCCCTATTCACGCAGTGACCTGGGGTTCTAGTGGGAAACCGTGACCCGTAGGGTACAGCAGGTTGAAGATGAGGCAGTAACTCATCGAAGAAGACATTGCAAAATGGTCGCACTATGTCGTGAATGGGCAGAAGTTAGAATACAAGGACCATTGGGTAGGGTCCCAGTGGCTCAATGGTCTACGAGCTCGCCTTGTAACCAGAAGGTGGGTGCGTACTGGTGAAGAGTGCCAAACTAAGACGAAACAGATGTCCAGTACTCCCTGCAGGTTTTCCAGTGGTTCTCAAACTTTTAATTTTATTATTTTATTCAAGTGTTGGTTTGCAGGCATTTGATTGGTTACGACGGCATTTCATACTGAGGTGTGGCATCGGTTAGAGAAATATTGGAAAACCACCAGGGAGTATTGGACAGGGTTCGAACCCAGAGCCTTCCGGTTACAAATCAACCTCGTAGACTATTCAGCTACCATTATTCTAACTGATGTCAACTTGTGGGCAAATCTGTAACCAATCAAATCCCTACAGAGAAGCAACACTTGACAAATAATAATAATTATTATTACTACATGCTCATTTATCGCCAAAAAAAATATGCTTAAGAAAGAAAATGAGTTTAACAGATGAATTACCTTGTTTTAAGCCATGCAGCAGGTGAATCACTCGCTTCCATTGGTAATGGTCTAGGTTCAAGAACTAATCTACGTCCAATACTTCTTGCACCCATTTGCATACGTTCATATCCTACTAAATGCGTAAAAGCATGCAGTACATCTAAGTCATCATCAACTTTCATGAAAGGATAACGTCCAGAAAGAAATGATAGAAAGATCACTCCAACAGCCCAGATATCAACAGCAGTTGTCTGTTCTACATGACGCATCATTACTTCTGGTGGTCTAAAGCCAAGTGTTCCACCACGTCGAACACCTGGAGCTCGGGGTAAATGTCTACAACCTCGACAAACAGTTAGTCGAGCACCGCATACACAACCACCTTGTCCTAAAGTTTGTGTTGTTGTTGTTGTTGTTGATGTATTTGATGCTGCTGCTACTACTGCTGCAGATGATGACGATGCTTGTTGCTGAGTAGATTTCACAACAGTAGGACCTTTAAATGACGGCATATGATCAATTTTTTGAGATTGACATTTCAAACTGTATCTAGAATTCCCGGTAGCTATGCTATGAGTTGGATTATTTTCTTTATTTGCTATAGTTGACCGATGAGTGGTATCACTTGACATAGAACGGTCCGACTAAAGACAAAAAATACATAAAAGTGGTGAAACTACGGATTTAGAAAACAAATAGCGAGTGAAATTATGTTGACTGACAGTTGACAAACTAACTGTCAACGAAGCAACATGTACGAGACGAATGATACAAATCTATAGGGAACAAATATACATATGTAGTTATACCATGACTTGATAAAACACTTAAGCATTATTATTATTATTACTATTATTACTGTTCCATTGGGTTCCGAGTGGAAAATAGACTTATAATAGTACGTCTCCAATTTGTCCTGCCACGCGATTACCCGTAGGTTTTCATCTCCTCCTCCTCCTCACACGATCTCCTCCATGTTGCCCTCAAACCCAGGTTGAACTCATCGTTTCCCACTCGAAAGCCTGGTGTGTACGATGTCATTCGACGACAGTCTCTTCAGAGTGTGTCCGATCCACCTCCATTTCCTGCTGCACATTTGTTGAGCAATAAGTCCTTGGTTGGTTCGCTGCCTGCCAGAGTTTCTTGTTGCTTATTCTTTCTGGTCAGTCATCTGAGCTAGCGAAGGCAGCTGTTGGTAGAAATCTGCCAATAGATGTTGGAAATGCAAATGCGTTTAGTGACGTGCTGGTCAAGTTTCTGACCCATACAGAAACAGTGAATCACTTAGCATTGGTGTTGAAAATTTGAATGTTTTTTGTCTATGCTGAATTCAGAAGATTTGCAAACTGATTTCAGAGTGAAGGCGTGTCCTACCTTTCCGATTCTGGCTTGCCTTAATATTCTCATCTATGCCTGTGCCTGTACTTGATGCGATGTTGTCTAGGTAAGTGGAGGAAATGACCTCTTTCAAATTTATCCCACTGATAGATATTGATCTGTCTGTCTGTCTGTTTTCGACATAGAACTTTGCACCGGTGTGCAGCAGTTCGAGTCGCCACACTTCATGTAGCACACAAAGCAAGAGAAGAAAGTAGAAAAAATGCATAATCGAAACAGTAAACAGGAATATGAAACAAAAGGAATAGTGATAACGAAGAACAATGTAGTTTCATTGGGTATTATAAGTCACAAGGAGTGGATGCATCTGCGCCAGCCATCACTGAGAACGATTTTGAGCCACCCATATCACTAATTGTCCCCAGCCTCCATTGGTTTTTACCGTGCTGAGGACCCCAAACAGACAGCAGTCTACACCTTCCTAAGTAGCTGGCTTAAACTAACTGTTGTGGATTTCATTGACTGGTGCCATGTTTTCGTTTGACCACCGCTAGCTCTTTTCCAGCTTGACCCTATGTCAGCTAACATTGCCCGTCGAGGAAGGTGATGGCTAGGCTAGCATACGTAACGCATGTCCTAACCATCTTAATCGATGTAGCTTCACAACCTCATCTATTGATTTCCCCTCCTTACCTAGCACTCGACCGATGCCTAACCTCAGTATTGCTTACCCTATTATACCACCAACTGACACGGGAGATAGAACGCAGACACCTATGATCAAAGACAGATAGCCTGCCTTTTTACGTCTTCCACTGTCAATGGCCAGGTCTCACTCGCAGCCATAAAGGAAGACAGAGCGAACTGCTGAGCAGTACACACGTCCTTTGGTCGATAGCCATGCGTGTATCACGTCTACGCCAGAGACGGCATAAACTGGCATATACGAAAATAGCCTTCTCTATCCGTGCTGAGATTTAGTCAGTGGTCAACTCGTTAGCACTGGCTGATGCAACTTCATAAATAAGTGAAGTAGTCAATAGGCTCCACCAACCACTTCACTCCTGTCTATCTTCAAGCTAGGAGTCAGTGTCGTCCAATTCTGTAGCATCATCTTACATATGGCGGGAGCGAGTCGCATGCCAAACATTCGCACATTGCAGCTCAAGGTGTTCAGAAGACTCTGCATTTTGTCAGCGTCTTCACCTAGGTGGGAGGACTATATCATCTGCATATTCTAAGTCAACGAGATTATACCCTGGTAACAAGCCAATCAATCCATGAGTCTCTGAAGTTACTTAGGGTTAATTCCATTAGTACATGTATGATAAAATTGAATAGAAACGGGGATAGTGGGCATCCGTGACGGACACCACTAGTTGTCACCAGTTCAGATGACAACTTATAATTTCCAATGAAACTATATTGTTTTTCGTTGTTACTATTCCTTTTGTCTCATATATCCCTGTCTACTGTCTCTATAATGCATTTCTTCTACTTTCTTCTCTTGCTTTATGTACTACATGGAGTGTGGCGACTTGAACTGCTGCACATCCGAGCGAAATTCTATGTCAAAAACAGACAGATAAACAAAGAAGTTAGAGACGCAAAGCTGTATGTATAGTACACTTAGTAAATAAGTCAAGTGAAATGTAAACTTCCGGTGGTAGTGCTGGTGGTGAATAGGAAATGCGTTATTTATGCCTAAAATTCCAAATTCGAAGTAAAATGAAAATGAAGATTAATAAAGGATGTTCAACTAAAAACATGAAAACAATCTCCTCCTCCTTCCCCCAATTAATTATTATTATTATTATTATTGTATCCTTTAATTCCTACAGGAACATAGGGCTTCAGCCGTGCGTCTCCATTGCGTTCTGTTCTCTGCTAGAGTCTTCACCCGGCTCCAATTAATTAGTCATGTGAAAATTATAATATATAAAGTTGACTGATGATTACCTACCTGTGTAGAGTCTGAAACTCTTTTCTTTGTTTCATTTCTTTTGTCATCTGAAGTACGTTTAGCTTCAAACTTTCTTTCCCATCTTTCATCAATATCTCCAAACTCTTCAGAATGTGCTAAACCAAAATCTACAAGATAAAATCTAAATTGGGATATCAACAATTAAACAAAAATTACAAATTACTGTCTTGTTTTTTGATCCATAAGAAAATTTGTCGGTTTTATATCGCGATGAATAATCTTATACTTATGAACATGTGCTAAAGCTGAAAGAAGTGCACGCATATAACGTCGAATTTCTTTTTCATCCGCTGTTAAATAATAATCCTAAGATAAGGTAAAGAATAAGGCTAGGGGGCGAAATTATTCCTTAACTTACTGTGAAAGGAATATAATCCACAAAAGGCATTAGAATGAAGACATGATCACGAATTCGCATTGCTGTATGCATTGCAATTACATTGTGTTTACCACTAAGTTAAAAAAAAAAAAAAAACAAGTTACATGAACTAATTGTAGTTTAGTTACCCAAGTCTTCGTAAAATCCGAACTTCATTCTCAATCCTTCGAATATCAACAGTTGGAATGATCATTTTCAGTGCATAGTATTTGCATTCATCTGTATCTTGCTTACTTTTAACCGCTAGAACAGATGCAAATGTACCCTGTCCTTGTCTTTCAGATACATCAAATAAGTCTGTGATTTGTGGAAACTCAAAAATATATTGTACATTTCGGACTTTGCTTTCAATCATTCGAACAGTATCTGAAAAGGAATATTAAACTGATCATATTTCAGAAACTATTGTATGCTGACAGTTTGAAAGCCAAAACTTCTTTAAAAGTAACAGACATATATTGTGCTTTACACGTTAAGTCATCAGTTAAATTGATATTAGTTAGAGCGAACAATTGTGGCTTCAATAAATTCTTCTTCTTCAGGCTCTACAAATTATAAATGCATCAATTTAAGCATACAATAGCCAGCCAGTAAAGGCAAATTAAAATCTAGAGGAGCTCAACTACGTCTTCTATCAGTAACTGAAGCAGTAGCAATCACCACCAGAAGGCCGACTCTTTGTATACAGAGAAAGTATGTTCAACCGCTATGTTTACTTTGGCCTACAATAAGGCTAACAAATCCTCCATAAACATTAGCACTTTTTTCCTTTTTTTTTCCCCTCGTTACATTGACAAACGTTCATTTCTGACCTTTTATGACTTCCTGACTCTTCTTATGATTTATATTACCTTAGGCTGAAGTAATGCTTTTCTAGCTTGTTATCATGTTTACAAAATCCTGTTCATTTCACTTCCCTAAATTCAGTATTATTATTATTATTTGACAATCATTCACCAGTAGTGCTTTTGAGTTTACGCCACATCATCGCTATTATTTCACAATCACCATTACTGTTATTTGTCACCCATGAAGTTACGTCCAGTTTATTTTCTGTTGTACTCATATTGTCTCTCACACCACCCTCGAAACCTATACTTCTGTTGACTATGTATATGTATCATTAATTTATTTCATCTCATTTTGTCTCATGTTCTCATTGACCATACATATTCAAAAACTAACTGACTACTGTTCTAACCCATCTGATACCTACTCTACAATACCATTCTGATATGCTTCGAATTTGCCTTTACTGGCTATTGTATGCTTAAACTAATGGATTTATAACTGTGAAGCCTGGAGAATAACTTATTGAAAACAATTTTTCGCTATTTTTGTTCTGAATAAATTATGGGAATATTCAAGTTACTGAAATTGATATTTACAAAATAGTTGTTACTACAAGTAAAAAGTTCTTTCGACCGTCTTACAGACGCCATGCGCTGGGACACACTGAGACGGAGGGATACCATATTTTACTTCACAAGTACGTTTTGAACACCAGGACAGGAGATCCCAGCCGAAACACTACGATACCTGTCGAATGAGCTAGATTGAGTCCATGCACCTTATGACGAAAACCATGTTTAATAACATTTGGAGTCCAGTCACTCTGTGTACAGTTTAACATATGTTTAGTCTGTTTAGGCTCTGGTGTGTGGTAAACTTATTTTTTAGCAAAGTTAAACATATTTACCAAAGATAACGAGGATACTAATCATCCTGATGCGATCAACTGTATAAGTAAGAAAATCTACGTCAGTAACAATACTTTCAATCGTTTCACAAAGACATAAGCGAAAGCCTTTAACAAAGCTGTTATGGTACAAAACTGTAAAGCTCTGTGACTAGGAGTCGTCACAGCCTATAGGATCAGCTCTGGCTGCATCAGAAGAACATGGGATAGATTCCGTTGACATCGACCAAGGCATCGTGCTCAACTGCCTAAGGAAACTAGATGCAGGGAAATCAATGGGTCCTGATAATCTTCACCCAAGGCTTCTCAAGGAGTTATCAGCACACATAGCCGGCCCTTTGACTACGATCTTCAAGCTTTCTCTCCAAAATGGAGTGTTACCGCGTGACTGGAAAGACGCCATAGTAACCCCCATCCACAAAGGAGGACACGTCCACGTTGCAAGAGGACCTCAACAAATTGTCAGAGTGGTCCATAGAATGGATGCTCCCGATAAACGTGACAAAATGTGCAACCATGCGCATTGGACAAGCAAGCACGAGCTCTTATGAACTAGAGGGAATTACACTTCCATCAGTTCAGACTTACTTGGACTTAGGTGTCATAGTTAGCCACGACTTAAAAACTACAGCACACTGTCGCGCGGTGGCTGCACGTAGTTTCAGGTCATTATGGGCAATTCGTAGAGCCTTCACTAGAATCACCAGAGATATGTTCACCTCCTTATATACATCTCTGGTGAGGTCAAGACTGGAAAACTGCATCCAGGCCGCCAGCCCTTGTCTAAAAGGGGACTCACTTATTCTAGAAAGGGTTCAACGGAAAGCAACACGTATGATTCATGGCATGACTAACTTATCATACGAGGAAAGACTAGACAATTTAAATCTCTTCTCCTTGTCATACCGTAGGCAGAGAGGAGATTTAATCACAATGTTTAAAATTTTAAATAATGACTACGGACCTGACCTATTTTCTCTTTTCCTTCCCACCAGGTCGGAACACCTTAGAGGACATAGCAGGAGAGTTCAAAAGCCAAGAAGAAATCATATTGCTGTTGAGTACTGGTTCTCACACAGAGTCATAAACTCTTGGAACCGACTCCCAGAAGAAGTGGTGTCTGCAACCTCAGTTGATTCGTTCAAGAAGGGTTTGGACAACCACAGAAGTTTACTAGAAAAGGATTAACATAGGCTCCAAGCCTTCTATCCTCAAACAATAAATCTGAATCTGAATTACTATGTTCGATAGTTTGTATGGATACATTCTAACTCTCCCAAAGCATGTATTGATTCGTATGAAAAGTAAAATATTTAAAAAGTGCAGGTCGATTAATACGTTGTCAATGCATTTATGAAAGTTCAAAAACTAGTGAACACAGAAACAGTGAGCCTGACTCGCATATATGACAGTCCACTTGGAATTATTGAACTTATATCTGTGCCACTAAGCTCTTTAACCTCGACCTTGAAAAGTAACACTGCAAAACATTATGCTGGTCTGAATTATCTGGGCGTTTAGCAAATACTATTTTCTCCAGGAAACTATTCCTGAAGACATCGAACTCTGTAAGGAAATTCATCTGCATACAATTAATGATTTATCCACTATTAGCTCACTCTGTGCATCAATAATATTGAATCATTCAGGCCGGTCGAAAGTTCAACTCTAGTAATGCATGCCACAGAAAATGGAACACAACACTGGATTCTAAAATGTCGGAATACTAGGAAAAGGCCTTCGCTCATGTCACGAAAAGTTAGTCTGAGAAACCTTGCACATTTCAACTACATTAAACGATATAGGAGAGGAGAGATTGATTAATCACCTATCAGACTACTATATGTGTAAAACTTGGGCACTGTGGTAGTAAGTAATTTCATCTTAGTTTGTTTATCAGATCTGTCACACAGTGAAACAGTGTTATTTTCTGGATGACGTTTCGAACAAAATTTATTGTTCATAATCATATCAATTACAATTATTATAGTTATTATTATCATAATTGATATGATTATGAACAATAAATTTTGTTCGAAACGTCATCCAGTAAATAACACTGTTTCACTGTGTGACAAATCTGATAAACAAACTAATATGGAATCACCTATCAGACTGACAGTAATGATTTACGATCCGAACAAATTTTTACAGGTTGATGGTATTGACGTTCGCGAATTGTACGGAGTATACTAACGCAAGATCTTAAAACGACAACTTCTATAGTATTCGCTCTTCGTGCACCAAAGACAAAGCAAAACGCCACAAATGACCGTCCAAAGTACGTGATATATTTCGGGACCAAATAGTAAACCGTATTGAGTGCTTAACTAGCTAGTGATCGTGCACGAACGTGACACGACGGAGTACCGAATGGTAAGGATGCTTGACCGGAAGCCTTCAGCTAAACAAGTCGACTTAAATAGTGAGGGTCAGCATCCGATGTTCAGTGATGATTGCTGTGGTCAACAACTTTGGGGAAATATTCACCGCTACAGCTCACTCCCCCCTAGTGGGGTTGTGAGGATCCTAGGACAGAACCAGCCGCAAGTATAAAACTCCATGGCTCCCTTAAAGTGAAGAAAGCTCTTCCGAACGGCTTGGTGGAGTGCCTACTGGTCTGTCTGCCTATGCTAATAGGGTGTCTGTACATCTCTTCCTTGTTGTTTGTCCGTTGGATCTCGTGCTTCGTTTGTTTCTTGTCCAGTGCCCGTCGCACCTGGAAAAGAAAACAAGAATGCTAAGAACCTTGTTGAGGAAAATGTACCGAATCAGCGTTTTTAAAAATATGATGTGCATCTACGATACAGTAAAATAATGTAAAGTTTAAAACATCGAAAAAAGTTTGCATCTAATTTTTTGAGTGCATGTAAAATGTACGGTTTTTGGAAAAGAAATTTTTACTCGTGTTTAGTGACGCTGCATAAAAAGTTGATGTGTCTGAAAATAAGAAATAATAATTAATACCGCAAATGATTTAGTTAGGCGAATAGGACCGCTTAGTTATGTGATATAGGTATGAAGATATTCTGGGAATCTTACGTTACTTCCAGAACGCGTTTTCTTAGAGGACCCGACCGAAGGTCTGGTGGCTTTCGCCATGCTAGGGAGTTCTTCGAGGACTAAAGGATATTGAATTACTTGTGGATTATCGGGTACGTTTAGCTCTGGGCTAATATGATTACCTTCCAAGTAAGCCGGTTTCAGACGGTCAACGTTGACGGTATCTTTGCGGTCTTCTTCGTCTAAGTCAAAGATTTATCAGTACGTTTAATTACTTTATATGGCCCGTCATACGGGGTTTCTGGAGGGTGACGCACGGAGTCACAACGAACAAGTACGTGTGAAGAAGCTTTTAAACAGGGGTGAACGAAGACATCAATGGAGTGTAGTCGAAGGGGAGCAGGTTAAACTGAGCGCATTGCGTTTGTAAGCCTGCTGACGTATGAGTAGTGATCTACCGCTGGTGGGAAGCTCGAGGGAGAAACAAACTCACCTGGCAGTCGTAGTGTCGTGCCATATACTAGCTCAGCGGTAGTACAACTAGCATCGGTTTTTAAGGCGTTTCGTATCCCTAGGAGAACTAATGGAAGGGATTCAGACCAATGGGTGCGGTTCGTAGATGATAAACCAGCTTTCAACTGTCTATGAAGACGTTCTACCATACCATTAGCTTAAGGATGGTAGGCTGTTGTTCAAAAACGCATGCGACCTATGATTTTAGTAAGGGCGAAGAATAAGCCGCTTTCGAATTGCCGCTTGCGATCAGTTGTTATGGAAGATGGGCATCCAAATTTAGGAATAAAACTTGGGCACTGTGGTAGAGTGTAATTCCATTATGGGTAAATTTTATTTTGATAAAGTCTCACAGTTTTATACAGTAATATTTACTGATATTATATATATTATATTTTGATTACAGCTTGATGCCACACCGTATTTTTAGTACAAGTATGGAATTTTCAGCATGGATATCGGTAGCCCAAATTTTGCAGGCCAACCATGGATATGGGGTGTGCGTCGGCAGGGGATCGAACTCTGGACCATGTGCATGGTCGGCGAGAGTCCTAACCACTGTGCCACCGACGCACACCGAGCACAATTTATTGCTCATAATCATATCAAGGTAATCACACTACTATGGAAAATATGAAAATATATATGGAAAATATTACTACCAATCAAATCAAGTGAGAATCAAGTGAAAAACAATGGAACTATATAAATGAATTTAGGAAGTCGTGTGATTACCTTGATATGATTATGAGCAATAAATAGTGCTCGAAAA